ATCCCTTGTATTCCTGACAAAAGCATGTGGGCCAAAGCTACTCATGGCTTTTTCATGCACCCTCCCTGTCTTAGGTCCACATGAGGTAGAAGGAAGAATAGAATGAAATCATCACTTGAGGGAGGCAACAACAAGAAGAGGGCAAAGAAACATGAGTGCCCCATCTGCCATGAGTTAGGGCATCACTGGTACACTTGTAAGAATGGGAATCCAGAAGATATAGCTACAATGGGGGCTAAAAGGTAAACTATATAACTAAATTACTTTGCAGATACATGTACAGCTTCAATAACTTAATTAACTAATGTAACTTTTTCTATGCAGGGGTCTTCCAAAGAAAAGGCTGAAAAAATAGCAAGCTGTAACACAGAGACTAGCATTATGGTTGCTACTCCATCCCAGATGGTGTTCCCACACAATGAGGCAGTGGTCAATGTTACACACAAGAAAAGGAAGAGGAAATCTTTTTCTTCTTCTTCTGGTGCCAAGAAGAGCAAGGGGGCAGCTACCACTACTACTTCAAGCTCAGGTCCAAACAGTGTGTCTAATAGGTATGTTTACCAGCTCTTCAATTGATCACAACACTTCTATTATGACTGCTAATGCTAAAGCACACTCTACCTTTTTGCCATAAGGTCTGGAACTGGTTCCAATGACCCAATTTCAATCCAAACTGTGCACCTAGTCCCTTTCCATGAAGACTCCATTACAATAGAGACAGAGCCACTGGAGACTGTGCTGCCCTAGGCTTCACCAAGGAGAAAGATAGGGATCAAGAAGAAGCTTACACCAAAGAAGCTCCAAGTTGCAGCAGCCAGCCCAGCCAGCCCTGCTTCAAATACCAGAAGCAAGAAGAAGCTCCAGCTGTTGTGAAAGGTGCATGCTCAATGTTCTTTTGGTGATGTGGTTCTGAAAAAACACCTGCTATATGATGGCACGACTGTTCTTTTGCTCTGTGATGAATGTTCTGTGATGGCATGACATTACTTAGATGTAGATGAAAACCAATAAGTTAGCTGCTATGTGATGAATGTTGGTGACATGAAACCTTTGTGATGAAAAACAGTAAGGTAGCTGCTGTTATGTGATGAATGTTTGTTTACTGTTGCAGTACTCTAATTGTTGTTGTATTGTTCTCATATGTTGTTGCATTCTGGACAAATGAACAATCTTCATATTCATCATTCAACATTGATTCATTCATCCATCCATTCATCCATGACTACTCACACACAGAGATAGGGCTGAGGACCTATATATAGGAGATGCCCAAGGGTTTAGTTGGCGCCAACAACCCTGGCTTTGGCGCCAAACGCTCGGCCTGGGGCTGGATTGAAAATGGCACATAAGCAAACCAACTAGCCTCTCAAGTCTAAGGGCATCTAAGTCATTTGGCTGCATCGTTACCCACCGTTAGGATCAAAACTAGATAAAATGGCGTGTTGGACAAAAGAGTTTAGCGTCATGGCACCAGGGTCCATGTGAACTTTTTGGTGGCACGTAGGAATAGAATGTCAGAGGGAAAAGGCCCTTTTTCCCATGTCCACCATGCGGCTCTGCTCGCGCTCTAGTGGAGCTACTGGTGACCGCCGCTATCGCCCTACGCCATGTGCTCGGTCTAGCCTCGCCGGCTCCTTCGCAAGGTCTTGGCCCGTCGCCGGCGGCTAACACCCACCAGGTATTCGCACCCCTTCTCTTCCCTTCCTGTTGTATTCGGATCTAGGTAGTTGTATTCGGATCTGATCTAATTACAAGTTTATATGTGTATTAATTATGCCTAATAAATTTGATATTTTTTTCAAAATTTATTGGGTGTACATGTGTACACCATGTCCTCTACTGGGTCTGCCCCTAGTTGCGATGATGTGTTGATTCTTTTAGGTTCTGAGATGGCAGAGACGGTGTTCACCCCCTCTTTGGAAGGGATGAAGCATGTGAAGGCAGAGAACGGAGTCATTCTTACCAAGCCTTTCCTTGATGTCTGCAAGCAAATCTTGCATGTCCTTGGTAACTCATTTGCTTCGCTGTCAGCTGCATGAGGTTTCATTACTTAATCTCTAATTTGGTACCATGCTTAGTTCAGTGGTGGGGCGGGTGCAGTGAACGGGCTTGAGTTACTGTCATTACACATGGTAGATCGATTGTTTAAACAATGGTTTCTGATAGCTAAGACAAATTATCGTCTATGGTTATGCCACCTTGAAGAGGCACAAGTTTTTTGACATTCTCTGTGAAATCACCATGATGTTTAATGTAGGATTCAGTAAAGATCACCTATCTTTTTATAAACTTGGAGTTTTGGATGGTTACAATTTTTCTGTGCACATCTGTGCGATACTTGTGTTGATCCTTGAATCAAGCTTCGGTGTTGTCTTAAACCATGGAAGAGCAAGCCATTGGGTCTTAAAATTGCAGTTCTGTGTTCCATTATGTTGAGCTGTACTTGTGTTGCTTAAACAATAAACTATTTTGCAATAATTTTCCCTTTATCCCCTGCTTTTATGCACCAGATAAATTTGGAGCTGCTATGGCACTTGTAAAAACTGATATTGGTGGCAATATCACAGTAAGCAAATCTTTCTTCAAGATTTTCTATCATACTAGTATCATTCAAAGGTTATCTTCCATTCTTTTCTGTTGGTAAATAGCTGGGCAGTAGCGGCAGTGCTAATGTTGTCTTTCAGTTATCTATGTTGAGATAATTGATATTGATTAAAACCATACTTAGGAGTTTTCAAAAAAATTGAAACTATGCACACCAATAGCGCATCTGTAGATGTGCATTGTCACAAAATTTAAGATTCAAACTCATTTTGCAAAAATTCATGGAATTTTGTCCTCTAGTGCCTATGCAAATGAAATTTGTTGTTTTCATATGATTTTTTGCAAAAGCACGTGACTGTCCGCTGCCGCCGGTCGCCAAGCGTGCTGAGGGCAAGCACGGTCGCTCCCCGGTCCGCATCGCTGGGGTAGCTCGGGGTGCCCGCGGTCGCCGGGCCTCTCCCTCTTGCCGTCGCGTCTCGCCTGTGGATACGGCATCCGCCAGGTCAGTCTCCACCGGTATGCTTCGGCTCAGGGCGCTGCGTCTGGGGCCTCGAGCTTCTCGGCCGGCGTTGACAACGTGGGAGCAGTCTCGACCATCCGCCGCCCGGACGCTGGGGCGGGCTGGTTGGGTTGAACGCCCACACCGTCGCGCCGCTCCCTACTCCAGCAAGGCGTCCAGCGCCCGGCTTCACCTAGGACACGTGTCGGGGCGACGCTGCTGGAGTTGGTCGTTGTCCCACGTTCCCGCCATCCAGCGGCGGAGGACGCTCTATCTCGCTTTGGTCGCGGCCCGGTGCTCGACGCGGCCGCCGGTGTCTCTCAGCGATGGTGCGGAGTGCCTAGGTGAGTACTTCCGGCATCGCGGAGAACATGGTCACCGTGCATCGCACCATGCCGGATGACTTCATCGTGCATTTTGTCGGAAGAAGACCGGAGATGGTGCTAAGCACGCCTTGGCGGCGGCGCGCCCCTGTCAAGCGCTTACGGTGGCGTCGTTGGAGCAGACTGTTCATGCCGTCTGCGCAGGGCCTTTCGCTTCGGGTGCTCGTATATCTCGGGCACAAAGCCCGAGCCCGTGAGCCCGCACGGAGCCCGCTTTTAGGCCCGCCCCAAGCCTGGCCCGGCCAAGGTTAATGGGCCCTGGCTGGCATCTTGCACGGGTGCAGCCGTGCTTGGGCCGAACCCTAGGCCCACAGGCCGGCACGGCACGGCCCGCAAGCAGGCAAGCAGGCCGGCGGCCCAAGAACCCTCCTGGCCTCCTCGGCTCCTCCCCGGCCGGCTCCCCATATAACCGAGACCCCCCCCCCCGGCCGGCCCCTAACCCTAACCCCATTCGCCTCGCCTCCCAACCGCAGTCCGCAGGCCCAGCCGCACTCGACACCCTAACCCTAATCCCATTCGCCTCCCAACCGCAGCCGCACTCGACACCCGCTCGGTCCATCTTCGCCTCCTCTCGTCGATCCATCTTCGTCGCCGGTGCGACCGTCGTCCTTGGATCCGGTGATATCGCCGCCGCTCCATCACCCTAACCCTAACCCCATTCGCCTCGCCTCCCAACCGCAGGCCGCAGCCGCACTCGACACCCTAACCCTAATCCCATTCGCCTCCCAACCGCAGCCGCACTCGACACCCGCTCGGTCCATCTTCGCCTCCTCTCGTCGATCCATCTTCGTCGCCGGTGCGACCGTCGTCCTTGGATCCGGTGATATCGCCGCCGCTCCATCACCTCTCCGGCTCTCCCTGAGTTCCCTGCTCCCTCAGTCCATCTTCGTCTTCCTTTTTACTCCTTCTCCTCTGTTTGTCGATGAACATGTGAGTCCGCCTCCCGTCTCTCTCTGCACCGTCGCCGCCGTCCTTCTTAATCCTGTCTTGCCCTTGTGTGGCCCTCGTCTTCTCTCCGGCGCCGGCTCCGGTTGCTCGAGCAAGTCCATCCCCATTCGTAAATCTAACCCTAGCCCCTAGATCTATACGTTTCTCAGTGTTTTGATTCTGTTTTTGGGATCATTTTCTCATCCGGCTCCGGTTGCGCAGGCAAGTCCATCCCCATTCGTAACCCTAACCCTAGCCCCTAGATCTATACGTTTCTCAGTGTTTTGATTCTGTTTTTGGGATCATTTTCTCATCCTTTTCTTCTTTGCGTGTTCTTTTTCTTTGCAGGTCTGTTGCCGATGCCTCGTCGTCAACTAGCCTTGGCGAGACGGAGACGACGGCACGGCACCGCTGCCAAGTTGTGAGCCAGCAAGCCGCTGAGGAACGGTGCTGGAGTTCACCGTCCATGGCCGAGGGCCCCATGGCGTGTGACTTCGCATGAGGCGACGGTGGTGCCATGTTCCCGTGGATCGGCGACGATGACTTGGTCGCGGCTGGGGGTTGTCCCGAACGACGACGACGGCGGCGTGACCCCTTTGCGGTGTTTGATGACGCCACCAGCGGATTACGACCGGCGATCGACGCCGATGCCGCTGTCGATCTGCAGGGCAACGGGGGACGGGGACGGTGGACTCAACACCCACTCCAACTACACTGGTGTTAATGGTAATGCTGATGGTAATGGTACTCGTATCCTTCCTCTCGGTGCTGTTTACGGACTTGGTAAGCGCAAGTCTCGGTCTTTGGGGTGACTTTGAGGAGGTTTATGAGAAGATTAATGGTGTCGATGTGCGTGTTAGAGCTATATGTAAGATGTGTAGAACTGTGTTGAGTGCTAGATCTACCTTTGGTACTCGGTCACATTCTTAGGCACCAAAAATCTTGCAAATGAAACTTGATAATGCTTCTAGGGTTCAGTCTCGACTAGCTTTTAATGCTGATGGGTCTTTGCATAATTGGAACTATGATCCTGCTGTTGCTAGAACTGAACTGTGTAGATTGATTGCTAGGCTTGATCTTCCTCTTGGTTTTGGTGACACTGATGCATTTGAGGAATACATTAAAAATTCTCATAACCCGTCGTCCGTCTTGTGCTGGGAAAATATTGGAGTTCCTGGAAGTATTTTATGACTCTACTGTTACACTGTCTGGTGTTTATTATCCTACCAGTCCTCTTGTGCTGCACCATGTTCTGGAGATTGCAACTCATTTGCATGCATGTGAAAGAGATGTTAATCTTAGACCCTTTGTGTACCCTATGCAGCATAAATTTCTCAAGTATTGGAAGGACATTCCTCTCTTATACTCATTTGCATTCATTCTTGACCCTAGAGCTAAGCTGAGAGGTATGCAAAGGGTCCTCCATTTACTTACTGAATATACTGGTACTGATTACACTACTTACTATGCTGATTTGAAAACTGAGTTGCATAAAATGTTTGAGAAATATTTGAGAAAGTTTGGTGCAACCAGGTCACAAAGGGTTGCTGGTCCTACCCCACCCACTGGTAAGAGAAAACAGGCTTGGGGGGTAATTTTTGGAGGATCAGGTCTGCCTGGTCCTTCCAGTGGCACTGCCTGTTCTTCTTCTCACTCTACTGCTTCTGAACTTTCAAGCTATTTGGACAGCGACTGCATAACTGCTTATGAGGATGGTTTTGACATTCTTCTGTGGTGGAAGGACCACAAACTAACCTATCCTATCCTGGCTATTATGGCCAGAGATATCATGTCAGTTCCTGTTTCCACTTGTTCTTCAGAGTCTTGTTTCAGCTTAGCAGGGAGGATCCTAGAAGAACGGCGCCGGAGCTTGAAACCAGAACATGTTGAGATGCTGACCTTGTTGAAGGACTGGGAGCTAGGAGAGAAGAGGGAACAACATGAAGCTGCTGATACCAAGGAAATTGAAGATGCATTCGAGAATCTGTTCCTGGATGAACCAGAAGGTGAAGATGATGGATCTGGTGGCTGACAGTGGCATTGGTTGGCTGGGAGTGTTGGAGTACTTTTGTGTGAGTTGAGAGTGGATGTGTCCCTCACTCACTTGCTTAGTTTTCATTTGAACCTTTGAACAATGGTCTGTAATAACTATGTAAGATTAAGACATTTGGAGTCGGTCAGACTTTTTTTTTCTCGCCTAGGGTTTCTCACAAGGGTGAGTTTTACCTAGGTAGGTTTTTAATGAGGCAGCATTGCACAAAACAGCTCTTTTTGATATTTGAATGGATTGAGATGTTTATTTGGAGGTGTTTTAGATTTAACGGGCTGTGGGCTGGCACGGCCTGTTATTTTTGCCGTGCCTCACGGGCCAGCACGGCACGAAAAATGGCCCACAGTGTCCGCGTTCGGGCGAAGGCCAGCCCAGCAGTCGATCGCGACACGGCCCGCAGCAGGGCACGGCGTGCCTCCTCCATGGCCCGGTAGCCATCGTGCCGGGCCGGCCCCGTGATCGTCTGCGTGCTGCGGCGGGCCGCCCGATGCCCGTATAGGTGCTCGTCGGGATGAAGGGGATCCCAAAGCACATGCTCGATCCTCCGACAACGCTTGACGATTCTTGGGTCGCCCAACATGACGGGTGGAGATCGCAAACCCGACGCGCTCCTGGATCCCGAGGAGAGCGAGAGATGTTCGTCGCGGCTTGGTGCGCTCACCCAGACTTGATATCGGATTTGTCCTCTAGCGCCTATGCAAATGAAATTTGTTGTTTTCATATGATTTTTTGCAAAACGAGTTTGAATCTCAAAATTTGTGACAATGCACATCTACAGATGCACTATTGGTGTGCATAGTTTCAAATTTTTTGAAAACTTCTAAGTATGGTTTTGCAAAGGGTTTTCACGATTGCACCGAAGATGTGGTTTGCACTGAATATTTTGCCAGTTCATTTCTCACTTCTGGAGCCCTTGGGGTTCCAAGTTATTTTTTTCTTTTTAATTTCAATTGACTTGATCCTCTTCTGTCAGAGATTGGAAACAAAGTATTCTTCAGATCCATCAAAGTATGAACACTTGTACAGCATGGTTCAGGAAGAAGTTCAAAACAAGACCGCAAAAGGTCCCTCAAGCTGCACAAATGGGCTTCTGTGGCTCACGAGGTACTTCAGTTTCTTATTATTTTGTCACTTTTCATTGCAACTTGATCAGCATGCCAAGTATGTGACTTTTATTTACTCAAAATTTTGCATTTCAGGGCCATGGATTTTCTTGTTGAGTTGTTTCGTAACCTTCTTGAGCATGCAGACTGGACCATGACTCAAGCTTGCACTGATTCATATACTAAGACTCTGAAGAAATTTCATGGCTGGCTTGCCAGTTCTAGTTTTACGGTAGAATCTTTCACTCTATATAATGATCCATACAAGTGATTGAATTCTATCCACATAGGAAATCTGTTTCTTCAACACTCTTTCTTGAGAAAATATTATCAACATATTACTTCTGGAAATGTGAGTCTAGTTTTCACATGGATTGCCAACCTGAATAGCATGGCATCAGCGCATGATAGATCAAAGGACAGCTTTGACTTGTTTTAAATCTGAAAAGTTCTTTTCAAGAACATTTTCTTGTCACATCCAGTTTTGTATCTATGACTTCATCAATCCAAATTCTTCCATCCAGTCTTTTCTCTCTGAAGAACTAAAAAGTTAAAACAGGTATAGCTACAGACGACAAACACCAGATAGCCATGTAGTTAATTTGAACTGTCTACTGAAACCCTTATTTTTTATAAGATCGTTTGCGTACTTTTAGTTAGAGTATACCCCTTTTATTGGTGCTTCCATTTGTCGATTTACTTATATGAGTTGATGGCAGGTGGCCATGAAGCTCGCTCCTAATAGAGATAAGTTTATGGAGGTCATTAGTGGAACTTGTGACATCAATGCAGATATTGAGAAATTTTGCACAACCTTCTCTCCTTTCCTCAAAGCAAATCATGAATTTCTGGTATGGTCTCTCCCAATTTAAGATTCAGTTGTTTTGCTACTTTGGTCTCTTGTGAAATAGCTCTTGGCGCTGCTATTCTTGCAGGCGAGCGTTGGTCTTGATGATATGAAGGCTTCATAGAGCAATCTACGTGATGATTACAACAAACAACAAAATAAACATGTCCATGATTGATTGACCATGGCTACTTACACAGAGAATTGACAGTACTCAACAAATTTACTTTCCAAACTCAGTCCCCCTGTTACAGAAAATCTACAAATGATGATGTGAGTGGAACTCTTGTGCTATAATTCTCTACCCTTGAATCTTGCAACAATAGGTAAATTCCTGCAAAAACCAGAAACGTTACCACCTAGCAAATGTGCCTGCCACGCCAGATGTTATGCAGTATGCACATTTCTTTCTAGCAATTTTCCAGTTCTGGATTCTTGCCAAGTGATCTGTTCCTCGAAGCAAATGTGCTTGAGTGAATTGATTAGTTACTCAGCCTTAAACATAGCATCTTGATAACAATGCCAATCGGCCAGGTTTGCTGTGTAGGTCTCATGTTCTTGTGAAATCCGATAGCAGTTGTGCTGAACTGAGTTAGGAAGTTGTTTTTGAGTCGGTTTGAATAATATGCTTTTTATGTGTGGAGGTTTAGTAAGGGTGTTGTTCTTAGGGCATGTGTGGATCCATTAGTACTAAAAATTAGCAGCTACAATTAGTACTAGTGGATCCAAACAGACCTGCTAATTATTAGTTGGAGGACTGCTAACCATTAATTCTATTAGCAGGTTTGGAGTTGCTAATAGTTTATAATTTTATATGCACATTTAACTCACTATCCAACCACCTATTAGCAAATGGATCTAAACAGTTCCATGCTAAAAATTAGCAGCTATTATCTATTACCTAACTAATTTCCAAACAGGCCTTCAGTTAATTTATGTTACTCCGAATATAAGAATACATTTAACTGTGTATGGCAGATGATACTCGTCATGAAATAAATATGCTTGACATTAGGGTGATACACTAACGACTAACGAGGGTAGTTGAGCAAAGACGAGGAGCCACAGGGCTCGCCATTGCTCTGTCCTACGCATCGGATAAAAAACTGTATCAGTGGAATATGACACAGATTGCCTTTGGTAAACATGGGTCATGAAAAGGGTCGAAAGGCAGATCTGTACATACCATTCAATTCAATAGTACTGCAGCTAGGTGACTAGGTCCGTGCCTTTGGTGTGGTCCTGTACATAACTCTTTTGCAAAAAGGATTGTGTGGTCCTATACAAACTAACACTTTCGCCAAAGGATATAGTTCAACAGAAAAGGCCCAAAAATGGTATAGCCCTGTTCGCGTGCCCTTAAATCCGGTTTGATCCGCTTCTTTTTTCATCCAAAACAGTATTTTTCTCTCATAAATTCCTCCAGCATTTCTCCAAACCATCCAAATTCTTCCAAACGAACAAGCCCATATTATTCATCAGCCATCAGTCATCACAGTGGAGTCGTACGTGGAGAACTCTAGTGCCCGTTGACAAATGGGTGTAGAGTACGGCCTGTTCGTTTCGCTGAAAAGTCATAACTGAAAATACTGTTCATAGATTTGTCGTGGGAGAAAAATATTGTTCCTTCACTAGAATAGTATGGCTCATAAAAAAATGAACAGGACCTACGTACGGCACATATGCAGGTGGCGACAAGAAGCAAGATCCGGCTCTCTAGATTACGGCGCCGGTTAATTCGTGCGAAGTGATCTGGCTCGATCGAGAAAGCCTGTAAACTGATTGCTCGTGTGACGTCAGCATCGGTTGTCCAATGAAATCTGGCAATCATTTACGGTTTTCCACACTCATGCCTTGGGAAATATATATTAGGAGATTAGTGCTATTACTAGCAGAAGAAAATCAGCTGATAGCATCTTATTAGCAGGACTATTAGCTAACTTATTAGTTGAGTCATGTTTGTATCATCCCTCTATCTAATATATATAATACTAGTAGTACTTAATTTGGGGAAGGCAGTTAATAATTTTTATTAGCAAAGATAGTTTATTTTGAACTAGTAGTTGGATTATTAGCTAAAGTGTTTATATCTATTGGTGCTAATTTTAGCTACTAACAATTAACACTAATAATATATCTAAATAGGTCCTTAGAATACTACTGGTTAACTAAACTGGCCAGGAGGTGGACGAGCCAGTCATCATCCACTGACCATGCAACATATCTGCAATGCTAAGTTTTCCTGTATCATTTAAGGACGGTTTGGATGAGCTAGAGCAAGTTACTAGTTAGACTAATTTTTAAAAAAAATAGTTAAGGTTTTCTAGCTAATTGGTCAACAAATAGTTAAAATCTTGGCTAAAAAATTGCTTAACCCACCTATTAGTCTTCCTGCACTAAGGTTAATTTTAACTAATTTTTAGATAGCTAGCAATTAGCTCTTATATCAAACAAACCTAAAACTGATTTTTTTTTACTTAGCAGGAGCTCTGTCTCTCAAGTAAGGGGGTGTTTGGTTCTTTAGTCGCTTCTAAAATTTATGTTACATTGAATGTTTAGATACTAATAAGGAGCATTAAATATAGATTAATTACAAAACCAATTATATAGATGGAGGCTAATTTGCGAGACGAATTTTTTAAGCTAATTAATCTGTTATCAGCACATGTTTACTGTAGCACCACGTTGTCAAATCATGGACTAATTAGCCTTAAAAGATTCGTCTCGCAAATTAGTCGTAAGTTGTGCAATTAGTTTCATAATTAGTCTATATTTAATACTCATGTATATGTCCAAACATTCAGTGTGACAGGAATTTTAGGAGCTCACACAGAAACCAAACAGGCCCTAGAGAAGGCCTACATCTGATAAAGGACTGGCCAATCTCGTTTGCTGTAGAAAACCGATGTGCAACATGGCTTAAAGTGGCGAGACCTTTTTTGCGAGCCGTCGTGATCGTCGCAGTGCGGTACAGGGGGACTCCACCGCTGCGCGCATGCAGCAAATAATCCACCAGCTGAACGCAACGACAAACTGCTCGATCACTCAGGCCGCGCGCCTATAAATTCTCGATGTGTCGTGCATGTAATCCAAGCAAGAAGCAAACAATCCAAGCTGCCACAGCACAAAGGATTCCACGACGACCTCGACCGACGACGTACGGCGACACCAAGCCGGCCGGCGCTGTCCGATTGAGACGAAGTGGCCGGGAGCTGCACGGACAGCACATGCAAACGTGCACTCCCATGGCGTCCAGCCCGAATGCGCTGATGAAGGTGCTCCTCTGCGCCGTGCTCCTCCTGTCCACGACCACCGTCTCGCGCGGCCACTGCGAGCCTGACGACCACCGCGGCGGGGTGGTGGTGATCACCGGGCGGAGAATGCTCGTGGCGGAGAGCGACGCCGCGAGCTCCTCGCTGGCGGCCACGACGACTGCCGCGAGCGTGCCGCGGGTCACTCGCGCCGCGGCGGCGGCGGCGGCGTACTCCGAGTCGAAGAGGGAGAGCCCCGGCGGGCCCGATCCTCAGCACCATTAAAGCCCTCGCTCCCGCGCTCAATCGTGTCTGCTACATGACGACGTACGGTGGTTGAGGTCTGAAAGAACCTCGAATTATCCGTGAGTTTTTGTAGTTCGTATGTATATGTGATAATGTACGCGCGGAAATAAATCGCATCATTCGCCGTTGATCATGCAAGGGTCGCACAGAAAGTTTATACTACTTATTACTACTTTACTAGTCATATATATAATAATGCTACGGTGGATGATTTTTTTTAATTTGGTGGTTGATTTTTTTTTTCTAACGGCCGCATGTTGTTAATGAGCCCGTGACAGCCTCTTTGAGAAAATGAGAATGGTGGATGGGATGGGCCTGCTGGCTCTGAGGCCTAGGACAGGAAGTAAGCCCACAAGTCTTCCTTATCCACAGAGAGACAGTTTTTTTTTTTAAATAATAATTTATAATTTCATTTCTCACCAAGAGGCAGAAGAAAATTAATCTATAATAACGGGGCATACGAGACAACGAAACAAAGCATTACGACATACTGATACTCAAACCGCTTGTATATTATTGAAATTTTTTGGGTAAAAGAATGGACCTGAAACAAACCTATACTATAACAGACTAAAACACTACTGCATGAATTATGCTTCCATTAAAAAATACCCATCCAGATGTTCAAAAAAAAAACATCCAGAACATTCATGGATAGAAGGACGCAGAGTTCCCATTTGTTTTTGTTTTTAATTATTAAAATATTCGAGAGTTTTCAGACTTAGGCCATATTCGGGAGGATTTATTGTTGTTGCGACTGATTTACAAGATTAATTTGTTGCGAGAGAAAAATACTGTTTCCATGGCCTGAAAAGTACAACTGCTCGAGCGAACAGGGCCTCGAAGACGCCGTCGTCGTCGTCTTGCCATGCATACATGGGCCTTCACTCGTGGTCCTCGAACGACTTGGCCGGGTTGTCGGGGTCCATGTCGCCGAAGAGCGGCAAGTCGGCGGGCAGCGCCTCCAGGCTGAGGTTGGCGTCCTTGAGCGCCAACACCACCTCCTCGAACAGCACCCGGTTGCCGCGCGGCGTCAGGTGCAGCCCGTCCCTTCCCAAGCACACAAGAAATGGCAAATTTCCATTTGAGTTTTACCACTACTATGTCCGTCTGGACTCTGGAGCCTGGAGCGGGCAGCAGGACAGAGTGCGTAGCGCACGGCGTACCTGAGGAACGACTTCTCCCAGCCGGGCAACCTCTGCATCCTGGACCAGATGTCGATGGCCCTGAGCCCGCACTGCCGCGCCACCTCCAGGCACGCCCGCGCGTACAACCCCGCCGCCGCGTTGGTGCGTTCCGGCAGGCCGGAGAAGTCATGCGCGTACGGGTACCTGCATCATTTCCCATGTTCCGTTCCATCAGGATCGAAGCGGGGTCACCAATGCCGATCGACTGCCGCGCGCAGCGTACAGATCGATCACTCACCGGAGACGCCCGTCCTCGTCGACCGGCGGCGGCGTGATGAGGATGACGACCACCGACGGCCACCGCTTCTGGAAAACAGAGGAACTAAGTTAGTGCCATGCCGTCGCCGCGAAATGCAGGTCGCGTGCCCACAGAATGGACTGAACTGGGTTTAACCTTGAGGAGCGCGCAGATGGCGCGGAGGTTGTCCTTGTACTCGGCGAGGGGCACGTGCTGGAGCGCGCAGGCGCGGTCGGGCAGCGCGGCGTCGTTGGCGCCGAAGAAGACGGTGACGGCGGAGACGGGGCCGGCGATGCTGGCGACGGCGCGGCCCGCCACCCGCGCCGCCCAGCGCGTGTTGTAGCCGCTGTAGCCGCGCAGCACGACGTCGGCGGAGCGGGAGTAGTGGTTGGCGAGCGACGAGCCCCAGCCGCCCTCCCCGAACGCCTCCTCCGTGATGGAGTCCCCGAACAGCACGATCGACGGCCTCATTTTTTTTTCCGCTGATCGTGCTCGTGTGTGCGTGCGTGCCGATGGACAGGCCGGCAGACCCTGCACCGGTGCTGTGCTTGCTCTGGATCGTCGGTTCTTGGATGTGTGCCCCGTCATGGCATGTCTGGCTTTATATAGACGGACGCATGCAGGCGAGTCGGCGTCTCGGCGACGCCACGTCTGCGTCGTTCCAGGCAGCGAGGTCGGTTCGGCCTGCGACGGCAGCGCGGCGGACGCAATCAGGCGGTGCTGCCGTCATCTGGTGCGTGCCGGCGGCACGGGTGGCGCCAAGCCAAGCAGCTGCGCCGCGCGCGTCCATGTCGGCAGCATGGCGCCTCATCGAGAGGGGAGTCACGGGTGGTTGGACGCTTCGGCGCGTGGGCCCAGCTTTCTCGTCTGGGCTTGTCCGCCTGCGGCCAACAGGGGGCGCAGGGATTCCGGCGAGGTGCATGCACCGGGGGAGACGGTGGGCCGGCCCGGCCGAAGGCGGTCGAGCCCGTTCACAAGGGTCAAAGTCCGGAGGCACTTGCTGAATGGCTGGATCGTCGTGACTGTGGAATGGAACCCTCGGCCGCGAGTGTGCTACGTGCCAGCCCGGCTCTGCCGAGACGTGTCGTGTACGTACCAGGCAGGAAAGGGCATGTTTGCAGGTTGCACGCAGGCCCAACAAACGGATCGGCCTTCCGATAGGAGATAATTAATCTTCGAAAAAAAGTCCACATTGCCTCTTTCAATTTTTTCATGAAAGTCCGCTTTTCCTCCCTTAATTCGAAAATCGGGTAAAACACCTCCCTCAACTTTTAAAACCGTTCTTCTTACCTCCGTAACCTTGTTATAAGCGGTTTTGAAGGCGGTTTTGTCTTTTTCTTTTTTATTTATTTCGGCTGAATCTTTAAAAATTCATAGTAAATCACAAAAAAATCATAAAATAGAAAATTCAATTTTTTGGACTCTACATGAGTAGATCTATATAGTGAATATATAATATGGTATGCTTTAGTACAAATTTTTTTTGTAACTTTAAATCTATTCTTTTCTGTAATTAAATGAAATAATTCATAGCTGCAGTTTCTATGGTCCAATTGTGGTGAATTTTTTATGGCGGGCTAATTATTGTAAGCTTAAACTGTAGTAAAAATTGCATACTCATTGGATCATGTATAACTTAGTTATAGATTTTATTTAGGTTTGTGCTTGTTAAATATAAATAAATCTATAACTAAGCTATACATGATCCAATGAGTATGAAATTTTTACTACAGTTCAATCATATAATAATTAGCCCATCATAAAATTTTCATCACAATTGGACCACAGAAACTGCAGCTATGAATTATTCTAATTAATTATAAAAAAGCATTAATCTAAAGCCACAACAAAAACTTTGTACTAAAGCATATCATATTATATGTCGACTGTGTAGATCTACTCATATGGAGTCCAACAAAATTGAATTTTCTATTTTATGATTTTTCTGTGATTTGCTATGATTTTTCAAAGATTCAGCCGAAATAAATAAATAAAAAGATAAAATCGCCTTAAAGAAAGAGGTAACGTGGACTTTTTTCTTAATCTTTTGGCCAGATCTTTATCCTCTTCCATGGTGGCCTGGCCCATGTTGGAGTCTCCAAGGTGGCCGTGCCTACGAAATTTGCTCTCATTTTTTAACGGCACAAGAACAAATTTCACCAGTGACAGTGACTAACAGCCACCAATCGTCTGGTGCCAACTAATACACACAAGCTGGCTGGTCACTCTATCCTAAAATATAAAGTACCGCAAATGTTTGGAATAGGGCTTCCGAACGCCCGGATGCCGCTTCCAAGAACCCAAAAATCACCGCGCCGTTTCTCGCTCCCGCCCGCGCCACATGGCCCTGCTGCCACCCGCTCGCTCCATCCCCCATGCGCGCCTCCATTCCGCGCCACGTAGCTCTCCCATCCGACGCCGCACTCGCGCCCCCCACGTGGCGCGCTCCATCTACCGTGCGCCCACTCCACCTCGCAGCCTTCTCCGGCGCGCGGTCCGTCTTCTCCACCGGAGCCATCCGCGGCGGCCTTCTCCACCGGAGCGCCGAGCTCTACACCACAGCGAGCACTATACTAGTGAACTCCACACGCCGACGAGCCTCCATTTCCAAGCAGAAGGAGATGTTACGCTGAAAACGCATGATGCAAACGTATATTTCAAGTGTTTCAGATGTATGTCGCAAGTGTTCTGTATCGGTATTGTGAAAGTAGATCGGGATGTTGCACATGTTATAATACACGTATTGTTTCAAGTGTATGTTCCAAATGTTTCTTTTGTTTCAGACGTATGTTGCTAGTGTTTCATCTAGATGTTGCAAAAGTAGATATGAATGTTGCATATGCATGCATGTTGCAAGCGTATATCTCAAGTGTTTTAGGTGTTTCATACATATATTGCAAATGTTTCATCTGTATGTTTCATATATTTGCAATGACTACACACGTGTTTCCCTGGTGTTTCAGACATATGTTGCAAGCGTTTCAGCTGTTTTGGATGTATGTCGTAAGTGTTTCATCTGGATGTTGTAAAAGTAGATCTGGGTGTTGCACATGTTGCAACGAGATCCACCTGCCGCAGCCGCCTGCTGCAGCTGCTGGGCGCCGCCGTGGGTCACCATGTGGACGCCTGAGGTCGGCAGATGCATCCACGACGCGCGTCCACAGGCGGGGCAGGTCACTACGAGCGAATTCCGTGTACTTGTGGGCGTGCAACAGGTGCAACACCATCCGACACTAGCGCTCCCGATCGGAAGTCCAGACGCTAGCAAGTCCGATAAAGTATTTAGAAAGTTTCGAATAAATTATGGGGGTAACACAAATGATGTATGGAACTCTCTCTTAACTATAGAGAGACTTTGTGATTACCATATTTTAAGTCCGGTGGTAAACACTAATAGCAGGTATGCATGTAATTGGATCTTTGAAGGAGTTAATTCACCCACAATGCTTCATATTTTAGAACAAATTTTAAATGTTTCCATACCTTATATTCTAAGAGACGGAGATAGTACAGCTAGCAGGTTTAGCGACGATAACCGTGCAGGCGTGCACACACTCTGAGGCTAGAGAGTAGAGACCCAGAACACTGAGAACAGTACATCATGTACATGCACCGTTTTTTTTTTTGGAACTGTTTCATGCACCGTTTAAGAACGTGTCATGCTCGTAAAGCCATGTCCCGCAGGGAAGGCAAACAAATTAACGAACGGAAAAGGCCATGTGTACGTGCACGTAAAGCCATGTCCCGCAGGGAAGGCAAACAAATTAACGAACGGAAAAGGCCATCTGTACGTGCACGGGAATGAAAAAGCAGCATGGACCGGCGAGACGGCAACCCACCGGTACGGTGGCGCAGCGCAGCCGGCACAGGCTAACCACCCGGAAAACTCCAACTCACCGACGCACGCACTCACACCACCCATGGAATACGCAGAGCCGTAGCAGCCGCGGGCCGCGGCCCCACCGAAAGCAAAGGGAGCGAGGGCGCTCCCTCATTATTTGGCCGGAACAGCCCGTCGAAGAGGACGAGTCAGCACCAAGTCAACTTCATCATCATATCAGTTAGTAGCAAGGAAGCTTGAGAAGCTATCCATCCTTCAGGGAAAGGACGTCGGCAGCTGATTAGGCAAAGCTTCCCGGCAGTTAGCATTGCTGGCTTTTGTCAGCAACATGATTCCAATCGTTCCCTAAAAAAAAACATGATTCCGATCGCACGGTCGGATATGTGCCAGCCGGCTCCTTCGCTCCCCCCCCCTCCTCTCTCAGCATCACCATCTCACACCATCCTCATCCTTTTCTCAGTGTGGCCTAGGCAGCAGGTACGAAGTTTTTACTGTTCACGCTAGAATTTTGTGAGAGAAAAATACTACTCTGGCTGAAAAAAGAAGTCGAATAAGCCGGCTGGTAGCTCAGCCGAACACTACCACTCGGACTGTAAATGAGCTAAGGTCGTCGCCTTAAGTTTGAGCTTGTCAGAGCCCAGAGGGTCTAGCTGAGCTCGATTCGAGGCTCAGAACCAACCGTTTGCGGTGATCCCTGTAGAGACTCAGGCCCTTCCAATTTCCTCAAAAGAAAAAATGTTTGCAGTAATGCAGAAGCTTACGAGACCTTTTCGCACTCAAGCTTGTTAAGCTCTACATCACGTTCAATCTTGGCTTGTTTAGAATTCGAGCCAATCTCGAATCGAGTCGAAGACGAGCCTTGAGTTTTTTTTTTTTTTGCAGCCTTAATCACCACCCTCTCGTCGCACTTGACAACACCATACCCAAAGTCTCCTCGTCCAATTCGTTCTACTTTAATTGTGGAGTTAAAATGGACGTGACGGGCCCGGCCTATCTTGTCCGTTTATTCACGGCACCTACTGGGACATCCAGGCCGTCGATACCTGTCTCACGTCGTGCCAGCACACCCATAGTCCGATGGCGACGGGCAACCCATCCATGGCGGAGATACGTGACGATTCGGTAAAACACAGCCATCGTTCAGACGTGCTCTGAACCTCGTGTTAGTCCAATCACAGACGCGGAGCAACACAAAAGCGGAGCACGAATTATTGGCGCACGCTAGCGAATCGTCCCTGATGCTCAGAACCTGCTGTTGTTACAGACGGAGTGATAGTTCGTAGCTCGCATTAACCTCGTGTTACAACTGTGCTGGTGCCTGCATGGCTCTCTGTTCGTGTACCCCGGTTGGCTGCCGATCGCGCGCCGAGAGGTTCGTGCGCTGGTCGAGCAATGGGATTACGGGAGTCGTCCGGGCTTTCGAGGGAACAGGCAGGAGTGAAACGCTCGGCGGCAGAGACCAGAGAGCCCGGCGTAGCGTGCGCCCCGTCTCGGCTTCGCTGGCGCAACAGCGACGGAGAGCTGCTTCCGAGGTGTTGATGAGAGACGGCGCCTTTATGATTCCGTCGATAGATCCGCCGTCGGATCGGATCCAACGTTCGCCGGCGCCTCAGGTACGGTGAAGACCGGC